GGAAACCAATATTAAGCCATTGATGCATGGACTGACTGGATATTGTGCTATGAGCAGTCTTTGATCTTACACTGTGTTATACTGTGTTACAAAAGGGTTTTTAATTAAATATTATTGCACAATACATTAGAACCTGTTTAGAGCAGGCACCCTGCATTAAGCGGACACTAGTGAGTGTCCCAAGGGTGTCCGCTTAACACAGGTTTCACTGCATAACGAAAATCATGCACACAAATATTTTCCCTTTGAAAAGGAATTTTTGATCTTTGCTAAAAAAATGCAGTGGTAAATTTCATTGACTGAGGCACGCTATAAATTTCTAATCACTGGCTTAGTAAACAGCTGTTTCGAAAGACAACCCTGACAATTGTACGTGTACTTAAGACAAGGTCTTATTTCAAAGCCTCTCAGCTAGGTTTTAATTCAACACCTAATTTAACTACATGCTAGAAAGAGTAGTGCTTATAAGATGTACTTGCAAATGCAGAGGTACTACTTGCAACTGGTACAAATGTACTTAAAATGCAAAGTGTGGTAACCACCTTACCAGCTTTTGGATATGAAACAACATAAATATCTTTTTCTCTTGCGACAAGTCCAGGAAGTGCCTCTATCATTTCCCTAGTTGTCCCTGGCCTGCATGCTACTCCATGAATCCTCTGTATTGAAGGATTTTGGGATTGGGGGTTGTCAACCATGATTGTAAATGTGTCACCCTAATGAGAGTAAAGATAGTTATGATGTGGTTAGTGATTACAAATTTGGTGGTCTAATCCTTTGGAGGGGAGGAAGGGGAAGGGGTGAAGGCATGAAAAGGGGCGGGGGCAGATAAGGGGAGTTTTGCAAGGTTGATGGCTCGTCTGTATTTCTGAGTGCCAATTTGACAACTTGATTAGTTGAGCACTAGTACCCATTTTTATTTCTGGATAGAGATCTATTACTGAAAAGTTATTCAGGAATTCAGAATAAAAAGAATTTTGAATTCATTTATGTGATGGCGTGGCAACATAATAACAAGGAATAAAATTATACCTAATGGACTACTGTTGCTGAGAACAGGATGTGCACACTGTGCTATTCATAATTTAGCAGAACAAAATATATTTTTTTGATCAATTTATATAGAAATGTGGTACACTGTATAATTAACTGACCACTGAAGTTACCTATAAAAAAACTAAAGGAGTGTGCACACTCAATCATTTGATACTGAAACCTGTTACTGCAAAATTAATAGTCAGAATTAATAGCTAGAATGCAGAATACTGCAAACCAGAATAAAAAGAAAAGAAACAAAACAAAAACAACAGTGAGAACAAAAAATTAATAAGCAACTTTGTTCTAAGAAATGTAGCAGAGTTCAGAAACGTGAGAGTTATAAATAAATGTAATGATTGCACAAGTCTACCATGATTAACTCTGAGGAATTCAAAGTTTTGATGATTGATAATGATACTGTACTATGAATGGTCCATAATTTTTCACAGGGTTTAAATTAAGTGCCTGATGTGTTCATTCATCTCCTCAGTGCAAGATGATTCTCATCCATGCTGTCCTAATCGTTCAACTCACCATGAGATATACATGTATGGGAGTAATCATTTTACAATTATTTGCCAAAGGCGAAGTGAACATTGGTGAAGTTACAAAATGTCCACTGAGCCTGAGGCGAATAATAATTGTTTTAGTATAATTTTCAGCTGTGAATATCAACGACTACAAAATAATGGACTAAAGCATAAAAGCACATCCACAATTGTTTGTTTGCGTACACGTATGCAGCCCTAGTTTCAACAAGAAGCTTACATTTACATCTATTTTGAAAAACAAACAAGCAAAACACTACAAAAAATCAATTTATCTAGTACCTTTGTTTTATCATTGTCGACTTCATTCATAGTTTTCATCATTGTCTAAAATTAATAGCTTTAGTCTGAAGAAAATAAATTTCTGTCAATCGATCTGATCTCAGCTGGTGATCGATGTATAAACCACTGCATTTATGATTCTTAAATGCCTTGAAAAGATTTTTGGTCCAAGGGCGACAACAGTCATTTTGAAAATTATCCATCCTTTCAATTATCCTGATGTCTAATAATTGGAATGAACGAAAATTTCATTCAGAAACTGTCTGTCATGTTTACTTGCCAAGATGGTAAAGGTGGCGAGCTTTAAGTAACCAAGCTTAGAAATGTTATATTCACTGCTAACCTCAGTGAATATAGCATCATAATCTGAGCTTTTTGACCAATCAGAATGTTCAATTCTTGTATTCACCTCTGGAAATTATACTTATGCCAAATATTCAGATTTAAAATAAAATGATCTTAACTGACATAAAATTCAGGCAAATGCCTTCATAAGGATCAAAGCATATACAGAGTACAATTAATGTATGTTACATTAAAAAAGAAACATTCCCATCCTATGAGTATTAAGGAATGGACTAAGTAATTATAATGGACCATGATTTTTTTTTTTGAAGGGAGGGTGGGGTTGGGTGGGTGATTTTCTGGGGCATGATTTTTTTTTAGAGTGTCACTGAGTAATCACAGGTAGTGTGTCAACTGGATCATCTACCACCTGTTGCTGTTATTATAACAATTAATAATTAATGATTATTATTCTTTTACAGATGTCTTCCACTTGTTATTATAATTGACATTACTGTTAAACATATATTCTAGAGAGTGTTTCATCAGAATATACAGTGGTCGCATGTATCATGTTGACTTGATCACTGTTACAACCATTTTTTCTCCTTATGGATGATTTTGTACTTCAGTCTTTTTAAGTTATTGTGACCTTGAAAGGTAATTCATGGATGGCTTGCAGGTCCTTGAAACTTTGAATTTTTTTTTTATTTTTTATGTAATTTTTTTTTTTTACATGATGCTCAACAGAGACTGGGCAGAACAACCTCCTGAGAGTTTTTGGCAGTGGCATCACTGATTCTTACTCACATTTTGTGATGTTTGAATATTAGCTGAAGGAAAGTTGTGAAGTGTTGCAGTTTTATTTTATTATTTTTTATATTTATTCCAACTTATTCTATGCCCAATTTTCCATACAAAACCTGCCCTGACAATCAAAGGAGAGGAGAGCAGGCAATCTGCAATGCATCTGGCAGGTGAGTTAAATTTATTAATAAACCTGAATTGGTCCAATTAATAGTTCTGGGCTTTATTTTCTATTTTCCATGGATTTTACAGGGGGTCTGATGCTGTAGGGGTTCAGTGTTTTGTCAAAACCCAAAGAAATGTCCCTTCGCCAAGAACATACCTCAGGCCACAGTGAGGCACATGGGAAAGAAAAAAATGGCTCTTACTTGGTGTAGAAGACACAGCTGATGCAAAACAATAAAAAACAAAAGGACAAAAGAATGAGGAAAACAATGAAAACAAACGGTTTGCAGGGTGGTGTTTTTTTGTAACATGTATTGTGTCTTCTGCACCAAGTTAAGGAGCTAAAAAATCACGCTTGAAAATCAATATCCTCTTTGAAATTCCCCTGTATCCCTTAGTATAGTACATTTCTCAAAACTTAGGGTGAGTGTGTTTTTTTTTTTTTTTTTTGTAGTCTTTGAAAAATTTACGAGTGCTTATTTGTTCCAAATTGTATTGAAAAAATCATTTGATTACTTGTTATAATCGTATCTAAAACAGACTTCTCGATCGTGATTGGTTCTCCGCACGCCTATTTGTCATGTAATCAGCGTGTGATCATGTGGGTGTCTAATTACAGGTATAAAATTGATACCCACATGATTTTCAGTTCAATTATGCATGCTTTAATGGCTTCTTTTACAGTGTTTCCCACAGTTTTCAAAACTTATGAAAAGCATTACAGACGTTTTCTCTCAAAATAACTTCCCAAAAGACATTTTTAATTCCGAAATTTGTTATAGAAACAATTAATTAGTAATTGGTCCTTGTGTCATGCAATTCAGGGAATAATCGCGCTTGTATTTTCAAATCAGCCTTGTGCTTCACGCTCGTCCCCTTTTAAAATTACTCACGTGATTACTCGCTGAATTGCAATCCACTTGGTCCAGTTACTATTACTAATTATGTTAATTTCAACTTCCTGCACTGTTTGGAGTTAACTAATCATAACGTGCTGTCAGTCAACCAGCATGCTAAAGTTTTTGCATGTATGTCATCATAAAACAATTAACTTCTACAAGCTCAACCTTAAGATTATGTTCAAACAGCATTTTTTTTTAAATTCCCTCTGCCCCTACCCTTTCCATAAATTGTCAAATTCCCAACCCGGGAACAACCCCCGAAGTCAAATTCCCGCTCGCCTATGTAATGCCCTGGGTACGCCTTGGACGGGGGGGGGAGGTTAACAAGGGTTGATTTGGATGCTATAATGGGTGATGGTACGGGTCGGACCACAGCTTGTGTCTAAACAAAGCGTACTATAGATCGTAACCATTAACTACATAGACTCGACATTTGAGAAAAATTCTTACTGGCGGATCCGACACGGAATCCTCAAAAAAATCGACCAAGTATCAGTAGGATTATCAGAACAGATTTACGTAAACGTTGGAATTAACTCGAATTAAGATCATCAAAATTGCTGAAAACCACAAACCTTGTAAGCAAATCTTGGGTTTAGTTAATACGATCTTGCAGCTACCATATCAAATCACAATTACATTGAAAATTACATACCTGATAACCTTGTTCGTGTTCTGCGCGCCGGAAAGCAAAAATACTGGAAACCATACATGAGTTATCAAGTTTCAGATATTTCGTCCGCTGACCAGCCTGTCAGAAAAAGTCGGCAATAAGGCGGCAACGCCAAGGCAATGCAAAGACAATGCGAGAGGGGGCCTGAGAAAGGATTTATAAGGTAAGGGTGAGCAACGAAAAAGGGCAAAGCAAATAAGAAGACAGTAGAAATGCTAGATACCCTTGTACCAGGCCCTAGTACAACCTTAACTATTAAAGAAGGATGCCCCCTCATACGAGAGATTCACATCATCGCTGTTCAGTACAGTTCAGGTAGCCTGCGAATTCCTTGCGAACATAGACTTATTTCCAGCTGTCGCTTGTCTCCGCCGAATAACTTGTCGGTGGAGACAAGGGACAGCTGGAAATACGTCTGCGTTCGAAGGCCATAGTTCGGATCGATCGATCGACTGACTGATTGACTGATTGATTGATTGATTGACTGATTGATTGATTGATCGATCGATCCATTATCTGATTGATTGATTGACTGCTTGACTGATTGACCGGTTGACCGGTGGACCGGTGGACCGGTGGACTAATCGACTGGTCGACTGGTTGACTGAATTATTTGTTCATTCATTCATTCATTTATTGACTGAATCAGTGAGTCAGTGATTTGTTTGAGTTTAATTGTTTATTTGTTTATTCCTTATTGGACAGAGAAAATAATTTTGCATTGCAGTCCCATAGTAACAAATTTTATAGTGGAGAGGGGGGAGGGGGGGGAGGGGCACAAGGGCTGGTAGGGTATGCTGATGGGCCTGAGGCCCATCCTTTTAGGAGGATCCGAGGGCATCCTTCCTAAGGAAATTTTGGAAGTTCAGCCATGCTCGAACGCCATTTGGTGCATTTTGGAACACCTTTTTGAGATACAATTTGTTTTCATTTTTAGGCCTTATTTAAGTTCCATTTTTTTTATTATTATTTTTTTATTATTATTATTTTAACATGATGAGTGCTCCGCAGTTTTTGCAAGGCAATCCCAAAGAAGTCACAGAGAAGAGAGAATTAGCAAGACATGTGGAGAAAACGGCTGACATGGCAGGTCTCCAGGGAAATTTAGCAGTCAGGAGAGTTTTTACAGCACATTTCTTTTTTCCTCCAGTGAGTAAACTTTATTTAGACAGGGTAGCCCATTCAGCTCCGAGGCTGGTCTCAATAGGGGCCCTGTATCTAGAAGTTATGGGATTAAAAGCCTCAAATACAGCCGTAATAAAATTTAGAACGTTTACAACCAACTAGCAAAATTATATATAAAAAAATGTTTACCAAAGCTTATCAACCCTTAAGAACCTTAAATTTCTCTGACTGGTTAAATTTTCCCAAAAAAGTGCGGAGGGATGAGGCGTCACCAAATAAAATTAAAGTTTTATGAGCTGAGCTATGCACACGCGTTATAAATCTTTGTACATTCTTTAATTAGCCGTAATCTGCAAAACAACAATGTGAAATGACCAAGTTCTGAGTATTTGGACAACCTGAACCGCGACGCCTAATTTTGCGTATTTTCTTTTGGAACTTAACGCTGTCATAATTTATTTAGCCTGAGCAAGTTGTTTGACCGATAGGCGTACTGAAAAGATCTACACAGTTGCGACATTCGAAGGTAACATATAAATCCATTTTCCATTATGCCATGTCCCAGGCGTCACCGTCGTCATTGCTTAAACTCCCTATAAATTACATACATTGCTGGCAGATGATTCTCTGTGCCAGTAACATCGCTCTCACTTTCGGCTTCTTTTTGACGTTGCTCATGGACTATATAACATGATGTTCTTTTCCCCACCGGCCACAGAAAGAAATGATCGATACTAATCACAGCACTGTAAGCTACTGTAATTCAGTCTCAACTGATGATTAGCATTCAGTGAACTCTGGCTCCGCTTTACTTAGCAACGCCACTCTGCATGTTTCCCCTGAGCTCTCAATTCTTTCCCTACTACATGTAGCTTTTCTCTTTAACTTGTGAAGTCAACGACGCGCGCGATCGAGTGTTGTACACTATCTGCCAGCAATATTATGGTGAGTGCGAAGTGGTTTTAGCAAGTGAAAGTGTTAAGCTTTTCCGCTCGAATTACTGAATCGAATTCATTTCTGTAACCTTCAATTGCAAGCGCTCTTTTTGCGCCTCATTAACATGTTGTTATTAACTGTGTTTCGTTATCATGGGACAAAACACTAACGGACCCGCGTATAAGCCTCCCACGTTGAGAAGACTTGCGACAACAACATCGTCGCAGGGATGTTTTCAGGTTCCCACCATAAACACCGTACATTATGGGATCTAAGACAGTGTTGAGAACGATGAGCAGTTGACTACCTCTCCAGATCACATTGGACTGAGGTAAATGAAAATACGTCAGAGTTCGCATGACCGTAAATGGGGATCAGCAGAGGATAAACACAGTTGTCAGAGCAAAAAGTGTCTTGGCAACCTTCTTGTGCCAAGTGTCTCCATTTGAGTGGGAGCGACTCTACTTGTTCGAAGAGCACGAAATATCTTACTTTGCAAGAATATCATGTACGACAGTGGAAATACAAAGAAAAAGAAAGCATGTAGACTGTAGAAGACTTGTCGACCAACATCTCCCCAAGTCGTATTGTTACAGACCATCTCACCATTCTCGTCAACTAACTGGTACAACGCTAGTAAGGGTGAGCAGTGAGCCGAATAACCTCCCCACACCGTGACTATCTTGCGATAACCTTTGTTCGAGAAGTTCCTCGCTCTTGCGTTCAGTGGGTCTGAGATAGCTGTTAGTCTCTCGTAGCTGATCACTACAAGGGTGGCGATGGAAGCTGTGTAAGTCGTTTCAAGAAGAAATCCATACAACCTGCAAACGATGCTTCCTCCAACCCAGTACCACAAAAAGCTTGTCCCATTGAAGATCTAAAGAAGGGTAAACAAAAGATCTGCCGTCGCTAAGTTGATTACCAACCACATCAAGGAGACGTTTTTTCGTTTCATGGTCTTGTAACATGTGAATATAACCCACGCATTACCAAGCGTGGATAAAAGGAACACAGAAAAGTAAAATACAACAAACGATATTACCAAAGGTAAGGAAAAATTGTCAGTCAGACATAATGGGTGAGGAATCTGTCAGTCAACAAATGAACCTCTACTGGAAAACATACTTTCAAAATATACTGAGGTTAAGATAACACATTTCATTCCAATTATTTCTTGTCAGCAATCAATTATCCCTCACCTCGCTTTTTCGAACTGGTAATTAGGAAATGCCTCGTAAATTAGGTGATATAAAGAAAAGATTGGAGGATTAGTGGAGACGACATATAATAATTAGATAACGTGTCTCCATTGATAAATTATATTTTAGTTGTAGTTATCACTGGCCATGGCAACTTTGAATAACAGCTCAAGAAACTGGTAGACATTAACTTAAGATGCTCTTCCCGAGATTGCCTTGCACGCTACAGGAAATTGGAATTCAGTGATTACCAAAACGACTTCAAGCAGATAAATTTGAGATCGATGCGGTAAGGAGGTTCTTTTAACCTTGTTAACAGCTGTATAACTTTTTAAACTGAGTTTCCATTGTCAGATTCTCAGTATGTAAGTACATTATTGACTCAAATTCAGCATGAATTACATTCGTCTGGTCTAATTAAGACGTTTATAGTTAACGTTGAGCAAAGGATAATTAACCCTACCTCCCAGTCGGCGAATGAAGTGTCGCAGCGTATAATTGAAATCCGGCGCCCACCGTGTACGACTTAATCTATAAGCTAACGACCATAGAAAACTAGAATAAACAGGCTTTCTAAAGGTACTGATTTCCTTTAGTAGACTTACAGAGGCACAATGTGAGAGTAAGAAAAAGGAAAAAGAAATCTTAAGTTAAAATTCATTCTATGTTATTGTAATTATTTTGTTTGGTCAGATAAAAAAAATTGCTGTTCTGAACCCGACAGTGCATAGTTAACATAGGGGAGCAACTAAGCAATACTGAGAAACGTTTCGGCTAAGTTATTGTTGCATTGTGTATGAGGGAAAAAACAAGCATTGTGGATGGTTGTGGACCTTGGAATATAAACCTTGCCATTTTTGTTTACTCCTTTGAAGTTAGCCGGGACTCATAACCATAACCCACTCTTAGCTATAGACAACATTTTGTGATAATGCCAGTCATAAAGACCAGCTGCTTGCAACAAAGCCGAGATGAATTCGTAACTAGTCCAGAAATAACTCGGGAACAGAGGCAAAGGGAAAAATATTACCTTGTGCGTTATTGTGGGAATAGTTAGAAGCGACAACATGACTGATGTATTTTTAAGAAGGAGAAAGTAATTTTAGTATACTAATTGTGGACATTGTTACTGTCTTCACAGATAATTATTGCAAATTGAACGTTAACTCGGCTTGTCAAGAGTCTTAACTGATGGGTAGATGACCATCATCGGAGACCCATAGCCAGGGGCAGGAAGTCGGGGGACGAAGCAATATGCCTTCGGGTGACGCGATATTTTTGGTGAAAGTTTACTAAGACTTTCGCCCAGAAATATCTGCCCCTGGGTCTCTAGGATGAAAGATGACCAGTTGACAATAATTCTGTTAAGAAAGCCTGACAAAGGAGTTGATTTCGGGACTAAAAGGGTAAAGTCTGTATACGAGTCAAGTGATCCATCAGGCCGGCGCTTATCGATCTCCGGTTTCCGTAGCGTGAAGCGACTAGCAGTATTTCTACTCCCCCCTGGAGAGGATTACCCCAGCATTAAATTCGCCAGTACCCATTTATACACCTGAGTGGAGATGGGGCACTGTGAGAGTAAAGTGTCTTGCCAAAGAACACAACTCAATGCGTTCCCCAGCTTTGGCTTGAACCCGAACCGTTCGATCAGGAGTCGATCTTTATTAACCATGAGGCCACCGCGCCTCCACACAACATTTAGTGCCTTGTAATTTCAAACCCTTGCACTTGATTGAAAGGCTCACATTCAGTGGTTCTCCATCCAAACTCTATTAGAATAAGAAGAAATTAAACTTTGACAATGTTATGAAGCAATTTATCGTCAAGATCAGATGAGACTGGAAACTACTTTGAGCAATGAGTTACTTCACATAATGCATTTCGCGCGTAATTTTGAAGTTGCTACATGCTGCGAATTTCCTGCAGAGAGGATCGCAGAGAGGTTTCCTGTCTAAAACGTGATAAAAATCAAAGTTAGTTAAACAGAAGGAACCGTATGAGCCTCGGACAGTGATTCAATCAAGTCCAAGAGGTTCAAAATGTGCCTTCGACATCCTCAAGGAAATTACAGTTTGTGTACTGATCTACACGTGGCTTCACAGACGGGTAAAACGGCGAAATCAGTTAAACTTAACTTAACTTTCATTTTGTTATTCTTTGCAAA